ACCTGTATGTATTTTCAGTGTGTTGTGGAACCCATCTGGGGATGGCAGTCAAGTTGTGACGGTTTGTGAGCAGCATCTGGAATTATGGGACCTTGATAGAACTGCATCAACAGCAGAGGTGTGTCTTCATTTAACTTAAGAACTGCCTTTGTTTACTGTTCAGTGTGACTATTTTTGTCATCCCTTAAACGTCTCTCGTTCGTTGGCTGCATTCCATTTATCGTATTTGCAATCCAGGAAGCGCAGAGAATTTTAAGGTTAACACATTCCACTGGAATGATACATACCCCAAATTATGTATACTATTCAGTATCGCAGATGTTTGAATATGCTGTAATCATACGTACATATTTACACACTTTATTACTCGTAGTAGTCGGAAGACCATGCAGGATAAGCAGTCAGCGCCGAAAAAGAAATTGGAGCAATAGAAAACCTAACTTTTACGTAAACTAAAGATATGTTTTAAATATGTAAATTAAAATCAACCTAAAACATATTTATTTACAACAATTACATCACTTCACAATTCTGACACGGTATTGTCATATGGTTTGCAATGCATTCCTCTGGTAAGTAGCGGTGGATTCAGCCGTAACCGCAGACGCAAGAAACAAGCGCGAACAAGCTTGTGTAAATCTTTCCTGCATGCCCTTATTGATAAATTGATAACGTAATGCGATAGCCAATCAAACGGCCGGTATCATCACATACTCTGACTACGGTCACTTGATTAGCAAATAAGTTAGGCATTTAGACAAACTAACAGACTTATAATGCCCCAAACACACCAACTAAACATGTTAAAAAACGAAAAACAGACTCGGAAAACTGGAACACAGGTTTTTTTCACCGGATTCAAATGAAATTCAGCTTGTTTTGTAATTTGCATTAAGTTTGCGATCAACTTAAGTCAGTAAGCAACTTTTATGAAAGAAACAATTTGAAACCACGTTCAACTAAACAGGTTTTAAACCTGTTAAGCTTTGGTGTGAGTGGGGCTTATAATTAAGTGAAGAAATAGAAAATTGTTTTGTCAAAGTCAGTAAAGTCAAGTTAAAAGTTTGTTGACAAAACCATAGCATCGAAAACCATAAAGAGAAGCACGTCGCTCATTGATTTCTCCAAAGATACCCTTCCGCGTGTGAGCGCAACTCTCTTTCGCGTGTCGCGTGACCTTGAGCGGCGAGAGGAGATATCCACACGCTCGCTCACTCATCTTTCTCTCAGAAAAGCAAGTGACTTATCTTAGTGTATTGTTTTCACTACAAAGTCTATTGACTCAGCTCGACTAGAAGGAAAAGGACAACCGAAATTCACCACAGGTCGATGGAACCCACATCATAGCGGTTCACAAATCGCCACAGCTAATGACATGACAATCCGCGGGTGGGATGTCAGAACTATGAGGTCAGTGATTTCTGGAAATTTAACGCTTGCTTTCCTGGTTTTGTTTGTCTGTAATTGTTGTTGTTTGTTTTAAATTGTTTTCTGTTTTCGTTTGTTTTGTTTCTTGTTTATTTTGCCATGCAAAAGGGTTAAAAGCTGTGGATTAGAGTACTTAACTAAAGAGACAAATTAATAGCCTAAAAAAGGAGTTAAACAGCTTGAATTTCTTGATTAAAATGCACCCAGGAGCACACTCTTAGTTTACTCCGTAGTATGCCACACCCGAGAAGAGAAAGAAATGGATATACATTTCGGCGTGGGAGGGGTGGGAGGGGGGCGAAAAACGCGAACTTCCCCTCTCCCTTTATCCCTGTACGTTCTTTTAGCAGCGCTTTTTGATCTAAGAATCAATCCCACCATTTGATTTTAGCGCTATCGAACGCTTTCGCCCTCACTCGTTATTAATCCGCTCTGACCCTTTCACCGTATGCTCGCACAGAAACGCTTCTTGTGTAGTCTAGACCGAATATAAGAGATAAAGGCCAAGGGTTCTTTTAAAAAGAACAATAATAATTGTTATACTACTGCCTCAGATCTGTATACACCATTGAGAATGCACACAATCAGCTGGTGCGGGATTTAGACTTTAACCCAAACAAGCAGTACATACTGGTCAGCTGTGGTGATGACTGTAAAGTACGTTTCTGGGACACAAGAAACTCTACCTCTCCCCTGATGGTACTACAAGATCACTCACACTGGTAAACCAGCTTTTCTCTTTAGCTAGTCAAACTAATTCGTCAAGTATAGGGCTGTCAGTGGTCGTTTGCTGCTGAAAATGCTGATGTTTCGGTATCAGATGATTCAGATTATTGTATCACACAATATTTTACGGATCCTCTAAAGGCCCATAAACACAGCTCAATAGGCCCTTTGCAGTTAGGGTCACGTGATCAAATCTTTCCTTAAAAAATCTATATTATGGGCTATAACTTAAAGAATGCCAGAGATTGAAAGAGCATATCAAAAACACCAAAATGGCCAAGGTTGGGCCCCTGGAATTACAGAGTACTGTTTATACAACAGTTTGAACTTTCGGAAAATTAAGAGGATTTGTATGGAAAATGTTGCTGGAGAGCAAGGCCTTGCTCTCCAAAATTTTTTTCCACACGAATCTTCTTATTTTTAAAAAAATTTAGACTGTCATAAAATCTCTTTCTTGAATGATGGGGACCTCAAACTTGGCTATTTAGATATTTTCGACATGCTTTTTCCATTTCTGAAATTTGCTAAGTTATGGCCCATAATTTTATGAAAGGTAGGTGTCATGATGGCTTAGCTGCAAAGAGCCTATAATTGCTGCGTGCGACACTGTATTCAAATACGTACCGCAAATTATCTAACCAAACGCCCTCTCTCAAATAAAGCCTCTTGCCTAATAAACGCCCTCCCTACACTTATAAGTTTGTACACGTACACACCTCCTGTTTAATAGAATTTCCTCATGACATAATTATTGCTCAAAAGAAAATTCAATTTATTCTGCTTCTTGCTTGATTAATTAGAGGTTGCGCATTACAAAGTAAGAATTCTGACATCCAAGTTGAGCTTTAAAAAGCCATATGGATCTCTCAAACGCCCTAGACTTATCAATGGATGGACTGGATTGTCTTCTGTTTATAAACTGTGGTGATACATTCACCGAAAGCATATTAGTTTTGTGGAGTTTGTTGCAGTTTTGGGAATAAACGTCTCGTATGGTATCTTACGCCTCCCATCTATTAAACGCACCGGGCGTCAGTTAGATCATTTACGGTATGCAGTAGTAAAATTTTGCTCTTCTACCACAATATTGCATGCAGTAGACTTTCTTTTGTACAACTAAACATTTCGCATCATTTTCATTTCAGGGTGTGGAGTGTGCGGTATAATCATTTCCATGATCAGCTGGTTTTGACGTCGAGTAGCGACAGTCGAGTGATTCTCAATAACATCGTGTCTCTGTCTTCAGAACCTTTTGGTCATCTGGATGATGAAGATGAAGAAGACGGTGCACAAGACAAAGGGTCAGTTTAAAAATCCCGCTATCATGGGTAGTAGATTTAGGGACAGTTTACATGGAGGTGGGGTACTCCAGGTTAGGTAGGTAAGGTAACCCGACCTGTCCATAAAATCTCTCATTTTAATATGATCACGTTTACATCATAGGTGGGGTCACGCGCCGCGTGTTACCTCACCCTCACCTATCTGAGGACCCCACCTCCATGTAAACAGGCCCTTAGAAATAATCCTCGGGTGTCGGAATCCATTCGTCGGTGGTCCGGTATAAACCAAAGAAGAGGTAATCCATTAAAAACGTTTGACCTCATGCTCCCTAATTTTGTTTGCATTGTGCATGGATCGCTGGAACGATGCTGACCATGTATTTTCAAAAATGAGAGGGGAAAAGGCCATTTGAAGAATGGCATCTTTTCACTACTAAGACCAGAATTCATTTCGTTTTCTGTTCTTTCATATTTGAATGTGGTAATCCCAATGAGGATAAAATAACAAAAGCCCTAATTTGCACAAAAAAGGCAAACCCCTGAAGGATTCTTACTGGTAGTAGTAGTAATATGACGTCATCTTGCAAATAGCCTGTTGTTCACGTTATGGTTTTCCTGTAAACCGCGCCAGAAGAAAATAATGGAAACAAGACTCAATTAAGCGTTTATCTGTATTTTCCCCTTCAGGTCCCGCGAACCCACAAAAGACGGAGTCATAGCAACGTTTGATGAACACGAGGACAGCGTGTATGCAGTGGAATGGTCTACCGCTGACCCCTGGGTGTTCGCCTCGCTGTCATATGATGGTCGACTGGTTATAAATAGGGTGCCCAGAGCGGAGAAGTATAAGATACTTCTTTAGCTAAAATCATAGGCAACAATGTTATCATATGACCTTTCTGTGACACAAAACATGTTTTGTAGAATGAAACTGTCTTCATAAAGAGGTGAAGAATGAAGTGAACAAGAAAGACAGCCAAACAGGGGGCAGAAAAGATGCTCGTAGGTTTTCCCTTCCCAGGCCCTACTCATCTCGTTTAAAAGCTTTCCGAGGAGGTCACAGGCAGGATTTGTTTTCTTTGAAAACAAGAGGAGATGTAGTGGCAAACATCAGGCTGAGTTTGAGAGCGTTGACTTGTACATCTGTCTACTGATCTAACAAGAGCGGTGGCCTGAGGTCAAGACAGGCAAGAAAGACGCCGTTGATGATCAACTTTTATAAGAGGAAAAATCAGCTATTCGCGAAATGGTAATCACCGGTCAGCAAACTCAGAAAAACAGATTAGCAACTGAACTTGCATTTGAGGGTTTTGATGAGATTAAAACAAAAATAAAAAATAAAAGCTATGATAAACGTTTGTACCGACAAACGAGTCTCGTAAGTTTAAGTATGTTAAATTGAAACTAAAATAAGTTACGAAATCCCCTTCAGAGCTCTTCATTTTCAGGCGACACCCAGAACACGACACTTCCTCTACACAAACTAAACTATAGAAAATAAATAGTGAAAGAACTTTTAAATAACGTGTACAGTCGAATCTCTTCTAATGTCAACTTCACAGGATGGACACCTCAGTCTACAATTTATTTGGTGCTAGATCGTAAGTGATGAAATTTATGCACAGAATTTCAAGAAACAATTAGTCAATTAGACAAACACTTTTCTCAGAAACAATTATTTATTGCAGAGCTGGGCAAATATCAGTATGTTATTATTTCACGGTATAGATCGAGTCAATTATAAGGTTTTTCTCTGTGACCATCTTTGAACTATTTTCTTTTTCTTCCCTTCTTTCCTGTTGGTGCTTCCTGCTGCTTCGCCTTCTTGTTTCTATTCTTATTCTTGACGTTTACTGTCTGGTAATAATGAACACCAATTTTCTGTTTATTTGTCGTTAGTCGTCGCTGCTGAAAGAGTAGACCAAAACAAGAACCAATTTACTAATTACCAATACCAATTTATTAACAATCAGTTGTCTCGCTGCACTGCCGACAAAGAGGACAATATTATGTACAGGATAAACTGAGCAGACAAAGTAAAAACGACACCTTGGATCGAATTAAAGTAAAACTTGAAGACTAGGAAACAAATAATTCAGAAGGTGGATCTAACAACTGGGCCTGTAAAAGAAGGAGGGTGAAAGGGAAAACTTGGGCGTGTGCGTTAGGGCGGGGGGGGACGGTATCGCGAAGCCACTTCCTTACTCCCTTGCGTGCCATTCGCGCTCTCACTCGCTCCATTTCCACTTCCCCCCTCCCATTCGAACGTCTACTACGCAGGTGAAAGGGAGTCTTTAAAGACGACCTACTGTTAGAGAGGATTAAGGATAAGTATTGCTGGTTTGCACGTGACCTCATGGTGGCCATGTTCTTGCCGGGTCAAGAACAAAGTGTTTCTCAGCTCTGGAAAGTGAACACCATTTTGATATAAATTCTTAGGAAAAAAATTATACTCTTGATCACCAACATGACCGCCTTATCACGCGATTGCAAACCAATAATTGGTAGCGTAAGCGTTTTACTGAAACAGCTATATGAAGCCTGATGGCCTTTCAGCTGTTGCTTATAACTGGTTTGTGTCCCATCAAATAAATCAAGACCCGGTTCTGCTTTAATACTAGAGGCCATATAAGGGCAGTCTTAACCAGTTATGCTCATCATGATAACATCAGGGAAAGACCCATATAGGTTACCTTTGATTTTGGCGTTCCATCACCTTCATCTTCACTGTCACTTTTTCGTTTACCACGTCTTTTACCAGGATGTCCTGCATCTGCAGATAAGGATTAATGGTGTAAAAAATGACTATACAATCTTGTTCCCTGAGACTACATGTTGGTTGACGTAATTAACAATTCAACAAAATCAGTCTATCCGGGAGTTGAAAATGGAAGGATTCATAAAGCCGACGTTTTGAGAGCCAGCCTTTGTCAGAGCTAAACAGGGGATTGCGCCTCGTATGTAGCTTATCGAATCGCTGTAAGTGGGAGCTTGGTACTGTGTCACGGAGATTGAGAGTTCCACATCACTTTAACGTATTTCTCGAATTAACAGCAGTGAAAAACGGGCATTGGAACGGTCTGTACTTGTACTAAAAGTAGAAATAAACCACTCTACTGCTGGCGTCTCTTCCGCCCTTCAACAAAACGATTCACGTGGGAATCTGGTTCGTTTTTAAAATTATGTTCAGGACTTGAGCGGAAAAGTAAGATGATAATTCTAAGTATCAAATGTACAAGCTATTATTAATCTTATTGAAACATACTTCCTTTAGAATTTCTCCTTAGGTCTGACATTTCTTTCTTCGCTGTTTTTAATCCCGATAGACGCGCACGCGGCGTGTGACTCTCTTCTGGGTTTTCCCGATGCCTATGGCTGTCGTCATCATCACTCCCCAGTGCTTCTACGCATGCGATATAGGGACTGACTGAAACTGAGAAGCGCTTCTTAGAGGGAGTAGTCCATTCTTTGGCTTGGCGGGAAGGTAACGTTTGGGCACCTGAATAATAACGCCAAACAATAGATGGTTATCACTCAATCCATCAGATGGCTATTTATGATTCACAAAAGCGTAAGGGCCAAAAAACTTTTGTAGAAAAACGATTTACCTGGCGAGTTGTTGTAGTTACAAAGTAATCGCTGTTTTATCTCGTCAGCTTCCATGCTCCGCGCGATTGACAAATCCGTTTTATTTTCTTCATTTTCTAGCTCTTCGTCTTCATCATCTTTTTCTTCATCTGGCAGTTGGTTATTATCATGTTTGTTAGAGTCCCTATCCTTCAGCTCCGTTTTCTTTTGTTTCTCTACCGCTCTCTCGTCTTCATCTTCTTCATCTGTTAAATCGACATCTTCACTCTCGATTTCCTCGCTCCTGAAATAGAAATCCAAATTTAAATATTTACTTGTTGCACAGTACTACCAAGAATAGCATTAATTGGTCACCATGACATAACCAGACATACTCCAAAGCCAATGACAGTAACCTCAGATTTTATTAAAGAAATAACGTTTTTCTTATGTTGACCAGAACAGTTAGAGCACATAGTCAGGTATAATGAAGAGAAAAGAAGTCGTGATTTTTCAAGCTTTGCACCTGGCTAACACGATAGTAAAGTGAGTGTAAAAATTCATTTCAATTTTGCCTTGGTTTCATCTTGCTGCAGTTTGCGTTTGTTGTTTCGTGTCTCTTGCGCGCGCGTGTAAAACCAAAACAAATTGTGAGTTGATACCGGCGCGTTTGACCGGACTCGTATTTCAAACTACCTGCTTCTATTGTCATTGGTCAGAATAATTACAAGCCCAGTGCTTTATAAGTACTGACTTACTCAGTATGATCAGGCTTGCCATAAGCTGCCCTGATATCATCCTGTTCGTCATTCTTTTCATCTCTACCCATGTCCACATCGTCATTCTCTGATTCATCATCAGATTCACTTTCAACAGAAATGTCTTCCTCGCCTTCGCTGTTCTCTTCTAATGGTTGCACATCATCGCCAGTGTATTCTGGACCCACGTTAATTTCACTAAAGTTCTGTTTTACATGCGGAGTGTTTGTCCTCTTTTCAGTGTTTTTATTATTAATGGTATCTTCGCTGCAGCCATTTTCTGTCGTCTTTTCTGTAGCTGAGATACAGTCTTCCTTTGCGTCAGTTGGTTGGCTTGGTATTTCAGCAAGTTTTGCCTCAGGAGTTAAATCTAATGTCTTATTTTTTTCCTCGCCCGCGTCATTTTCCTGGCTTGGTAATTCAGCGGGTTTTGCTTCAGCAGTAGAATCACTCAATGTCTTATTTTCTTCCCCACCCAAAAGGTTCCCGTCTTTGACCGTTAACTCGTCTACCGTAGCTTGTTCTTTAGCCGCTTTGACTGTTTCGGAATGTCCACCGTTTGATTCTGTAGCTGTTTCTTTGACGAAGCTTATAAGAGACGTCTTTTGGTCATTTCTGTCAGTCTTCTCTTTTTTCTGGGTTTCTTCGTCACCTTCCTGAAAACAAAAAGATCAAACGAAGTAAATTTCAACTCTGGAATGAAGTTCACTCAGAGTCTCTGTAGCTTAACAAACGTGCTTTATCCTGTCAACCCGCCGGGTTTGGAGTTTCAATCGTGGCAGCAAGGTTCTTCTCCTGTTTGTTGAAAAAATTCTGCATTTCTTCCCTTTGAAAATGGTCGAAAAAGGATCACAATACAATACTTGCGGGATCAATTTAGGTTCTAGAAAACTGCCCACCTACCCCTCCCCTAAGTCAACATTAACACTTAGTTATCACTTAGGGCAAAATGTTGGGTTAGGGAAGGGGTGGGTGAGCAGGTTCCAAGCAACCTAAATTGAAACTTTTGCAAACACTAAACGACTTATCAGCGACACTGAACAAAACCTGATTCGTGTGAGTTCTTTTTCACTTGAGTCTACTTTTGTGATTTTTGATTTGCATATTCATGTTTGTTGTTCTCCGACTAAAATAGTTTTCCCTTGAGGACAATCAAATCAGTGAAACCAGCAGGTTCTTGTCAAGGTTGTCTTGCGGCAGGCGACTACTGAGACTCCCCTTGATTTTGTCACTTTCTTGTCAATTGGCAATTTTACCTTGGGTGGTGGTGGCACAAAATATGGCAGCTTTCCTCGCTGAAAGTCGTTCAAAATCATTTTGCCAACCGTGTTCACATCCGCTTCACCACCCTGCAGAGGTAAAGAAAGTTCATATGGTCGGTCATGGTTATTTCACAGTGCCGTCCAATTCTTACGCGAAGCAAGTTTTATTAATGTAATGTTACAAGGGACGATTCGCAACGACGATTTTCATCGCAATACAGCGTTGCAATGTTGGAACAATGTTGCAAGCATTCAAAACAATGTCGCTGCAATGT